CCCACACCCTCCTCTCCCTTGGGGAGCCCACACCCAGCCGGCCTGGTGCAGGGCCACCCCCTCCTTCTGCCCCATCTGGGCACAAGCCGTGGAGACAATAAAGCCCCTGTGGGGAAATGCCGCGGCTCCCGTGGTTTTTGGGGAGGGGTCATCAGGGAGGTGGCTGCGGGGTGGGGGGTGCACATGGTGGTGGTCACCCCTCCCAGCTGGACTTGTGTCCCCCTGGGCTGGCAGCAACCTCTGCCCTTGCCTGCAGCAACAACAAGGGTGCAGACCCCAGGTGGGGGGGGGTCTGCCCCCCAGGCACTTGTGCCCATGGCACAGCCGCCACCCACGGCTCTGCTTGCTCCGAGGGGCAAAAATAGACCCTGTTGGCAGCCCCAGCTGCCCTCCTGGCACGGCCAAGCTGGCACTCAGCCCCCTGCAGCCACCGGTGCACCCACATACAGCCCCCGGGGAGGACAAAAAGGCCTTTCGAGCAGGGCCAGAGGTGCCTCCAGCCAGCAAACCCAGGCTGCAAAGGCCCGCGGGCTGGCAGTGGCACGCAGGGAGCAGAGCTGGCAGCTGAGCCACCCTCCCTGCCCACAGCCCGTTAATCTGAGCAGAGGCCAAGGATCTGGTGGCAGGATTATTCTCTTCCCCAGAGCGAAGCCCCAGCTGCAGGGGATTAATGCTGGCAGTTATATAAAGGAGAGGGGGGCTGGTGCCCGCCAGCGCTCAGCCTCGGACCCCAGCCCACCCCGCATGCACCCAGGGACCCGCACAGCGGAGCAGGCTGGGGACGTCCCCAGCCCGTGAACGACTAAGTGGTCCCAGCCCACACCCCAGCCAACAAATGGCGTGGATGCTTGGGATGCTCGGGACCGCGGCATCCTTCCCTGCCGCAGAGCTCAGGACCCCCGGCACAGAGCAGGGGGTACTTCTCAGCTCAGTGCTGGGGCAGACAGAGGGGCCTCGGGGCAGGGGAAGCTGCAGGAGCCCCGGTCACAGGATGGAGCTTTGGACCTCGGCACCGGCAGCCACCGGGCAGTGACAGATGGTCCCACGCTCCGGGAGAGCCCGCCTGCCACGCGGCTCCCTCCGTCTTGATCCAAATCCAAGCCCTGGCATGAGATTTTCATGCTGATGGACCGCAGCAGGAATCCGGGGTGTAAAACGAGGTCACGGAGCCCCAGGCGGGGGGCAGAGATGGGCTGGCCCAGTTTGGTTATCTAACTCCAGCCTCCCTCCGCACGCTCCCTTCTCCCGGTCCATCACCTGCCTGCAGCGGGACAGGGCAGCCGGCAGCACCTTGGGGCAGAGCCGCAGCCAGCTCAGCCATCAAAGCATCGCCAGGACACCTGGACCCCTCTCAGAAAGGGGGGGTTCTGCCTTCGGGAAGTCACACAAAGGGCTGCCAAAAAATCCCCGAGTCTTGCATAACCTCAGCTGCAACAACAAAAGCAGGGCACCATTTACAAACAATGCAAAAGAGGATTTATTGAAACCATTCCGGTTAGACCAAGTCCTGTAGGGCACAATTTGCAATAAGTTAAAGAACCAAACCAAACAGTCTTAGTGTTAAAAAACACACTAATACATAACACAGTGATATATGCCATCATCACCCATCTGAGTTATTGAATCAAGGCACAAAGTCATTCATTAAATACTGCAGAAAAAAAACAATTACACAGGGAAATAAGCTGGGAAAAGGACTGGTTTTGTTAAGAAGGTGCTGGTTTGGCACTGATGCGTTTAACTGAGCTGCCACAGGGAAATCTGCGTTTCCAAAGTATCTGGAAACATTAATGGACAACTTAAAGCCAGAAAAGCCCCCCAAAGCTGAAAACCCAGCTTTCCTGAAGGAACATTCAGCGTGCCTATGGGAAAGGTCAGGTCTGGGTTGGGATCAGAGGAGGGAGAGAGCTGAGACACTGTGATTGCAGTGAGAATACGGCCCGGGCACCTTGTTCCCTGCCAGGGGAATTTCACTGGGATACAATCCGCATCCAACACACAGATCGGACTAGCACGCAAGCCTGGGGCTCCCACTGCCCGGCTCCCGCAGCCACGCTCCCGGCTCTGCCCCAGCCGGCGGAAGGGCAGCCTGAACCTAGCCCTCACAACCCCGGTTCTGCAGCGCTGGCGCAGCCCGTGATCCCTGCAACGCTGGCACAGGCTGCTAAGCTTCAGGTCTTTATCGTGCTGAGCAGAGAGGTGACTTAAGCTAGGGGACACAGCAGTGGAGTCTCCCCGCACCCCCAGAAATCAGCCTGGAAAGAGAGGAACAGAGGGGGAAACCCACCATTTTGAGTCCAGGGTGTTTTGGGGGTTGCGGAGTGCTCTCCTGGGAGCATCCCCGGCTGCCTGAACAGCCCAGAGGCCCCAGGACTGGGCTCTGCCAGCAGCGCAGCTCTGCAGAGGCCAGCAGCACTCATCCTACACGGCTCCCTTGACTGCCTGAGCTACAGGTCACGGGGCAGAGGGAGCCAGGGCACCCTTTAGGCAACTACCGGGCCAGCTGGAAGCAGGAGGTAAGCACCCAGGCGGACTACTGATGCTGCAGCTCATTTTGCTGCAAGACGGGGAGAGCTGAAGCTGTGGGCATGAGCCTGGGTGACACCAGCTGCCAGAGCCAGGAGCTGCCCTGCAGCAGGTTAAAGCTCAGCAGTTGCCACAAGAGAAGAACCGATGCTCGACCCTACACAACCTGGCTTGTTTCTCACCCTACAGTATTTCTACACGCACCCCAATCTGAGACTAGGCAAGGGAGGGAGGCAATGGCCAAACCCCCTCCGGCACCACAAAACTTGAGAGAGGTTATTTTTAGGGTGTGTGTTTTCTGTCCACCTTCCTCTCTCCAGTCAGATGGACGCCCAGCAGCATACGGACAGGGCTCATGTCTCAGTGCAGCTGGTGTGGGGACTGCAGCTTTCAGGACCAAGCAGCCGATTCAAACTGTTTTCCAGGCTTTGCACCTCATTTCTAGAGTCCGCGCTGCCGCCCACCAAGGAACGGGTCAGAGCATACACACCACGCTACAGAAGCCTCCAGGGGAGACATCATCTTCACGCAGCAACCTGTCCCATTCCCTCGGGCTACCAGGCTGGACAGAGAGAACAGCACCTGAAGATCCTCACCCAGCATCACTTCAATTCCGAGGGCAGCGAGGGAGCAGAGAGCTCTCTCTGGAGCTGTGCTGCAGAGACAGCTTGCGTTGTTTCCCCGAGCGGCTCATGCCTGTCCTACAGCCTGCCCACCTCCTGGCAGAGGGGACAGTGCTCGGAAAAGGCTCCTCAGCAGCTGCAAGACTGAAAGAGCATTTGCAGGAGAACTGGCATTGCCACTCGGGTACAGGGCTCCCCAGAGCAGCAAGCCCAGCTCCCAAGCAAGGTCAAAGTGCAATTCTACTCTGAAAAAATGTCCTAGATCCCCTGGCACCTCAAAACCAGTAGGAGAGGTGGTGTCCGTGCTGGCAGGGACCAGCCAGCCTGGACTCAGGGTGGTTTTTGTATCACCTATAATCATATTAGGGACAGGGAGGAATGTTGATGCATAAATCAGGGGGGACACCAGCTCCCTTTCTGTGTCACCGACACTGCACAGCCTGGCTGGAAAGGAAGCAACAGAGGAGACAAACACAGGTAGGCTCGTGACTGCAGAGCGGGGCACGTGAGGCTGTTCTTAGGAGAAAAGGCCATTTTCTAAGTAGAACGACACTTTAACCTGCGCTCTGCTGGCCCGGGTGACACCTAGCCACATCATCAGCCGCGGCTGGGGTCTATCACTACACACACCCCACGGCTACCGAAACAGGGGCACAAATCCAGGAGCGGGTGATTGCAAATCAACCTGCAGCCAAGCACCTCTCCCACAGGCAGGAGAGCTGACTCAGAAAGGAAATCTACCACCACACATCGAAACTCCACTTCTCACACATGCACCCAAGAAATAATCAACTCCGGCATCCCCAGCAAGCATGTGTTTTCCTCCAGACACAGGCTGAGTCAGCACAGTTCTGCGGGCACAGAAGGATCGAGGGGAAAGCCCTCTTCCCCGAGCTGACAACACTTCAGTGGTGGCCAAGCACTGAAGTCCCATCAGCTCTGAGGACAGATGCACTGGCAGCTGCCCCCACAGCCTGGGCATCCCCAGACACTGGGGGTGCTTCCCCGCCAGCCACGCTTTGGTTTGCAGATCGAGAAAGGCAGCTTCCCATTTGAATTCATGATCTGGGTTTGCTAAGAGCACGGCTGCAGAGGAGAGGCAGCTTGGAGACGCCTGGGCCAGGGCAGCCTCTCCCCCTCCCTCGGCAAGCTCACACTCGGCTGTGGAATCGCATCCTGTAGAGACGGTCCCGGACGTACTGCTCGCTGTCCACCGCCACCTGGCTCAGCCAGATCACCCTGCTCTCGGAGACATCCTCCTTCAGCTTACGCTTCATTAGAGACACCGACCCTGGCTCCTCGCTGGGTTGAGGCCCCCTCAACAGCACGTAGCAGGCATGACGGCTCCGCTCGAACAGCGTGGCTGTAACGCAGAGCAGAGGGAAAAACCCAGCCTAAGGTCTCTGTGTTCAGACTGGCCACCAGACCCAACACCGTGCACCCACAGAGTCCAGGAGGTACCAGAAGGCCAGTGTCCTCCTGCACCTCCTCGCTGGAGGGCTGGAAGGAGAGGACTTACCATTGAATGCAATTATTTGGTCTGTGCTATTGCGGAGCTCCAACAGGACATTAGTGTAGGAAGGATGGAAAAGATACAGCTTCTGGAGAGGAGCTCTGAATCTCTGCAACCAACAGGACACCAACAGGTCATGGACCCACACGTTATCCCAGAGACAACGCCAGCACCAGGCTCAGCTATTACTCATGCTCGACAGAATACATCCAGTCAGATACTTGTCCGTGTCTGCCCGACTCATCCTGTCTGATGCCACTAGTACTAGTGCTGGGATTCTGCTTACTGCTTGGTGCTCTCCTCCCCACCACCTCCCCAAGCTTCCTGGAAATAGCAGGCCTGTCTGCTACAGGGAGGAAACAGATTTTTGCCTTAGGGCTGGTAGCGTTAGTGAGGAAAGCACAGGAAGCTCACCTGGTGCTCGGGCATCCTCCAAGACACAACCTGTCACTAACGCTGCCAGCCACTGCCCCAGAGGGCTCTGTTACGCAGCTGAGCTGTCCATCGAGGCTGCCAGAGACTGCCTTGGCGCAGAGAGAGGATATTCACGTGGCCGTGGGAGATCACTGCGTGCAGTACTGCCGCGGGAGGCTCCAGGCCAAACAGCAGCAACTTCAGAGGTACCAAGCCAGCAGCCTCTCACCTCACCTACGGTACCACACCAAGGCAGGGCTCTGGGCAATCCAGTGACTTTGTTCACAGAGCCACTAAGTCCCTTTTCTCTACGTAGCCAGGCTGAGGACAACAAAAGCTGTTGGTGCCACCACCAGCTGCCAGGAGGGACACTGCTACGGACATCGTGAAGACCCAGTATAGACCAGATCACACGCAGAGGTCTGCGTGCTTCTAGCAGACGAGACTGGTCAGCGACCCCACACCCAGTGCAGGAGGCTGCAGCGTTAGTGGCACAGACAGATGAGAACGTGAACGCTGGGAAAAGGGGGCAGCTCCACCCAATTCTGGCCCAAAGTCTGGAGAACAGCAACCATTCAGCAGCACTACCCACCGTTTCGTTTCCTGCCGCCTGGTATTCACCCCAGATGAGGAAGGCGGACCGGTGATCAGCAGTAGAAAGTGTGGCTGGCCCAGGGCTCTCCGCTCTTGAGTTCAGCTTCAGGTCCCACTGGACTGCTCCAGATCCACTCTCAACAATCATAACCTAGCAGGGAAGAAAGAAAAGGAACTCATACCAAAGAGCTCTAACAAGCCATGAGAGAGAAGTCAAGTCAGCTGTCTTTATCCCACACTGTCTATAGGAACAAGTATCTGACACACGGGAAGATGAGGAAACACTTGAAGCTGAGCATCACAGAGCTGCGAGACCTGGGGTGGGCCACATTAACGTCACAAGTTTTGCAGCTATTTCAAGGGGTTCAAAGCTCTGCCATTGAAGCCTCTTGCTGAGAAGAGAATTAAAGTGCCTGAGCTGGCTTCAATAACCCGTTGAAAGAAATCTTTTCCCAGCCTGAAGCTTCCTAAAATCAGCCAGAGGGAACACATCCCACCAGCTGCCCTTGACTCAATGCCTGCTTGAGCTGAGACACGCAGAGAAAAGGGAAGTTAAAAGGAAGAGCGTTCAAACCTTCTTTCTGTTGGGTCCAATTTCACTCTCAAGGATAATGCCAAGAACGTCAGGTTTGTAGTAACCGAGCAGCGGCTCTCTAAGGGAGAAAAAGAGAACGGACAGATCATAACACACCCTGATGGCATGGGCATGCCTTGTTCTTTCAGAGCAGCCTCTATCCTCCCAGCAACTCCCCTGGTAAGAGACTCGACTGCCACGTTAGGTTAGCCTGGTACCGCTCCCAGCTCTGAGCCCAGTCCTAAGACAGCCATGTCGCAGCAGGCACAGAATGAAGAACCAAAGCTTTGGGCTCCTCCGTTTTGAAGCGGCACCTGACATTTGCTAGCACAGGACACACAATACAATGAGCATGATCCAGATATGACCACAGAGCAGGCTTTTGTTTCAAATGAATTAAAAAAAATAGCATGAAAAAAAAAAAAATAGCTGCTGCGGGGAGCCTGGAAATGCCTCATCCAAGCCACATCGGTAACGCTACCTCACAACATGGGACACGTTGAGGGTCCACAAGGTCTGAAGATTTTGTGCATTGATCAGCGTAGCCATCTCCGAGTTCACAACCAAGATGTTCTCCCGTGATCGCCCAGGAATTTTTGCCAGGTAACGAAAGTCTCCAGAGCTGAACAAGGACAGAAAAATGATTATGCTTTCTAGACTGTGGATGGTTTTATTGTGGGGGTTTGGTTTTTACCCTGCACAGTAAATGCAAATAGGAAACCCCAGCCTGCTTTCCCTTTCCTGTGAAACCCTGACCAGGCCATCAACACCAGCCCTCTCCCCAAGCTTTGGATGTGCTCCTAGTCCAAAAACCACGTAGCCAGGAAAGAACAAAGCCACAACAGGCCATCCTGTCAGGAACACCGGTGCCCTCCACTCCACCAGCAACCAAGACA